TATTTAGCTTTTATCTTGATATATCTGTGATATGATATTGTGGTTTATTTTATATCGAAACGAATTTATCCTTAACTCTGTGAACTAATTCAATTATTGACTTAGCAACTAAAATGTTTGTTACTAAAAATATTGAGGCTAGAAATGAGACAAAAAAAGTTTATATTTTAGATTATAGTGAATATTTAAAATAAACTTCAGCTTTTATTTTTATACAATAAAAATATACTCTCTAGTAGAGAGTCTCTACACATATTAAAAAATATAAAAAAAACGCCTCAAAATATTGTCGAGTAAAAGGTAACAGTATACAAATGATTTTTAACGAAACTATGTAATATTTTTCGTATTATACTTCGCGACTTAATTTTTGATAAAAACTACATACACCCGACGTTTCGGTTACTTTACAGCACCCGTGATCACGGTTAAAAAAATGAAAATGAGAAAGAATAGTTTCATAATAATAATGCATTTCATAATAATAATTAAAAAATTAAAAATAATAGTTTAATTAAATGAATAAAACTCACAAAAATCTTAGATCTCATTATAATTGATTTTATTGAATTTCATTAAATTCATAAAACATATTACTTATTTTACTTTGTCAGGAGGGGGGAGTTCTTCCAATTTATAACTTACGAGAGTTTACATTTCGATGTGATAGTAAAATATACGGAAAGTTTAATTTACTAACTCAAAAGTCTATTCAGAACCCGATTGTTTGATTGACAAAGCAACTCAAACATTATTACAGGTTTGAATCCTTCTCGTTTTAATGATTTTTTTATATAAATATTACCGGAATATTAAGCTCAAAATTGCTTTTATTTCAAGAACTTTATTCATTATTAAGAATTTTACCCAAATTTTGAAGATTTATAACTAGGTATATTTTTACTTTTTACTCATCAATACTATGATGAATTCTTTACAAAGAAAAAAAAGACGCTTTTTAATTAACCATCAGTTCATTATATTCAAGAAAACGGTTTCCTAGAAGAAAAACGTACCTAAATCCTTAATTACAGAAACACGTCAAACTGTACATTGTTTTGGAAAATACTCAAACTAATAATTTTCCTTGACGTAATAACTTGAATTACACTATGACAATGTAAAACAACAATAAAATATCAATTACCGGCAAATTCAATTACAAGTACCTGTGATGTTTACGCTCGCTTTAATTACATGTATGTATTTTAATAATAGATTTCTGGAAAGCTACAGTAAATAAAATAAGAAAATTTAAAAGTTGAAGTGAATGAAATTATTTTTAATGATATATCGACTATTACTTATAAAACTTCAATTTTATTATTGAACAGAAAATTCAAATTTCGAATACTGACAAACAACAAATTTGCATCGACTGAAATATAAATATCTGGTGCAGTGTATTCAGCCAATGTCTGTATTGAGAATGCACTAAGGAGGTTTAATTATATAATATGAACACCTTAGACTGAAGTCACTTAGATATGTTAACGATGCATCAGCCATCAAGCAGTGCCTGAATCCCTCTTGTTCGTATATCGAGTTAAGTGCAACGACGCACGCGCTCTTTATTAGACCCAATTAGCAATAGTCTTTGATCCGCCGACCCGGGGATTGAGACTTTTGAACTCTCTATTCGTTAATGTGTTATCTCGTACTCGGTTAAAACGGTAGCGAGTCCGTTCAAGGAAAGTTTAAATTAAATTTTTGTATCACGTGTTCCATTTCATAACAAACGATATCGCAAGGGTTAAAAGTAATACGATTTTGCACGAGCATTAAAATCATTAAGACGTTACTAGGAAGCCAGCTAATAATATTAATTATCATAAGACAAAACGACATTAGTGGACGCCTGCGCTCGTTTGTTATTATATTCCGAGATAAAGTTGACGGTATATTTCTTAATTGCTTATTGCACGATACAGACACTATCGGGCCACTATTTCCAACATAATAAGCATTATCACAAGAATAACAAGCTAGTAACTCGCAGCTTCAATGCTCATGTCGACGGTCGCGATAACCTAGACGCTCTCTGGCTCACTACGGACACGGTTCTATGCGCGTCAACTTATAATTTGAATATCGGATCTGTAACATTCTAAATTTAAATTTTGTTTTTTCTTTTTTTGCTCTCTTTGTTTTGTGCCAGTGTTGTTTTTTGTGATACGCTAACGGATTGCTTGGATTGTCTATGCTTTGGAGATAATAAGGGTGATTATAATTATGTAAATTACTTATTTAAATTAATGTAAAAAAAAATCTTTTTTTATAGATTAAATTAGTGTATTATTATATATTATAATTTTTACTTGTGGCTGAATGCGTTACGGTCATCTCATATTTGGGCATTTACAATGGACATCATTAATCACCTCTTATTTATCCAAGGACGTGGGATGCTGTTAAAATGCTTTTGAAGCGTAAGATCAGTCCTAGTGTTAAAATATGGAGTTAATTTACATATTTTATAATTTAGAAGATGGATATTAAATTGTTGATTAATATAATTTACAATACATTATCTGTTATTAAATATTATTATTGACTTTATCATTCATGTTTATAAAATTATTTTATCACGATTTAACATAATATAATTAAAATGAAATTCTTTTTCCTCGTTCTGAAGATATTTAGTGGTGATTTAAATTTGTATTTTAAATGTGCGATTAATATTAATATTAGGTAATTACATCAAAAACATCCATCGCGAAAACCAATAACCCTTATTTATATCAGAAAAATAATTATATAAGTCAATAATCGATTTAAATGTCATATAAATTATTCATAATAAAATATCATACAGATCATAAATGATTGCTCTGCAATAGATTATTATAATAAATATTTAAATTTAGAACATGCAACTATAAGACGTTGGCAGTATCTTTTTTGTTATGAATCATGTCCCATTATGTCTACATATAAACTCTTTTTGTTAAATTCGCCATTAATTGAATGCGAAAATACTTAAAATTAGGTACAATTAAAAAAAAAAGGAATACATATATGTAATTATATTGTATAATTATTAATTAACATAATAATAGTTTCCTGCATTATGTAGGTATGAAATATATTTAATTTTATTATGCTTTGACTATAACTATACATAGTTGTATATATGTGTGTGCGTGTGTGTGTGTGTGTGTGTGTGTGTGTGTGTGTGTGTGTGTGTGTGTGTATTTTATTAACTATATAAGTAAAGCAAAATATTCTTCATCTATTACTTAACTTTATACTTTATTACTTTAACTTTTACATATAATACTTTTGCGAACATATTTTCTTGTCTCAATGTTCTACTTTTCAGATTGTCCTTGAACTTTTATTGGCAAGTACTATAAAAATTTGTAAAAAGATTTTTCGTTGGTTGCTCATGACAATATATTTGGATAAATTAAACATACTTTATCATGGTATTTTTTTTATTTATTTATTGTACAAAGTTGTTATAGATTATGCCATTAATTTCGTGTACTGTAGGGGAATTACCGAGCATTTAAATGCTTTTTACGGTTTATCGTACTTACATTGATAATTTAATATCCCCAATTAGAACGGATGCTTAAAGATACTAATGATTCCACAAAATCTTTGAATAAATTATAACATAGTACTTTTTTAATATTTATATTATTATAATTAAAGTAATTGATTTCCATTTAAATGAAACAAGCTTTAAAAAAAATCCAATTTTTTTTATAGAACTGAAGCGAATTTTAAAACATTATTATATAATTTTAATCTAATGGCAACACTATTTAATAAATTTTGTTCTACAAAAAACTAATACGATATTAGATTTAAGAAGTTTAATTTAATATATAATTATTTCAACAAGAATTGAAATGAATATATTTTCTATAGTATTAATGATATATATATATATATATAAATATATTTGAAGCAGTTATAGTGTTTTTTGGTTTGTTGTATTTCATACAAATGTATGCAAATAATATACGTTTGGGAGCGTACGGTGTCAGTGAAGTGACCCGACGCCATTCTGAATACATTACAAGTACAGACAATTGTTGTAAATTAATATTACGATATATGTATAGAACTTTACGTCCAGAATAACTCACGGTTCCTGTGTGTTTATGCATTTATACATTTATTTAACACTTGCAACACCGTGCTATAAAGATGTAGTATAGAATAATGGGAAAGAAATGTGTGATGAATTACTTAATATGAAACAATATTAAATATATATAGATTATAATTAACTATCATAGAAGATGTAAGAAGTGTTATAGAAGAATGTTTTTTATCTATAAAGAAGTAGCTCGCGGCCATCTTGTTTTATTTGACATTTAATCATATTTTTAAATAAAAGTTTTTTTTTTGTGTGACGAATGATTTTATAAATTATAGCTATTTGTTACAAAATATAGTATTATACTACAGTTGATATTAACGTCATAATAAAACCATAACGAATAAGTGTTTAAAATTATTATGAAAATATTAAAATGTTCACGGTACATGTAATATTCTGTCATCTGTACCATTTTATATTATGTTTCGTATTTATTGATGTAAAACATTATATAAATAATAAGAAAACAACAAAATATAAGCGATAAGACATTTTTTGCAAGCATTTCAAATTTATGTAGGATAGCATGGATGTCTTATAGATGTTCATTAAGGATTATGTACTGGGTCTATCACATGTGACTGAACTATAAAAGTAAATATACAAAATCTACCAGTTCCAGCTTCTTAATATAAAACATTACAAAAATAACAAGAGAACAAAAAAAAAATTATGGCGCAATTGTCGCCAAAACAGATTTTTTCGAAGCATTTCAAATTCACTTAGGCTGGCATGCGTGTGCTAACAATTTTTAGGAAAGATTCTGTTTAGCATGTGACTGAACTAAAAGGAAAACCTGACTATGATATGATATAACTGTGATTTGAATGAACTACATATAGAAGTGTAATCTATAAGACCTATATTTACCAGTTCCAGCATGGTGGTAGTGCTGAACGGGGTGTTGGCTGACGAGTGCCCCACGTCTGTGAGGGCGCTGCTGTCTGCTCATCCAGGGTACAGAGACGCAGCAGCACAGCTCCTGGCCACAGCACCCAGGGTCGTCGGACCTCAAGGGCTGTTGTACGTAGCCCAGAGAGAATTGGCCGCTGTTGTTCCCCACGACAGTAAGTTTTAAAATGAGATCTAAGATTTTGACGTACTCGTTTAAATGAAACTAGTACGCGTTTTTATTTTTGACTATAAACTACATACTCTCGATGTTTAGGTTACTTTCTACTACGTCTGTCCGTGATCACGGTTGCTGAAAAGTAACCGAAACGTCGGGTGTATGTAGTTTATAGTCAACAAAAACGCGTAGTAAATCCGAAAATATTAATTTCATTTAAGTATGTAAGTTTTATAATAATTTTTCATACATCATCAATATTACAATATTAAATTGTGATTGTTTAATATTTTTGATATACACTAAACATTTATTATTCAAAAACAAAATTAGGAACCGGCTTCCAATAAAAATATTTTTTTAATAACTACATGATAAATCTGCCTTGTTAATTTATCCTTTCAATTACTTTGATATGATTTCAATTACTAAATGGGATTCAAGAAAATGTTGGAAATAAATTCGTATCTGTCATAGTATGTATATTGTGGTATTTTTATTTTTCCAGAAAACGTCAGTATCATAGGCTCCGACGATGCCACTTCTTGTATTATAGTTGTTGTCAGACATTCAGGTAAATATTATATAAATATACAGAAATGTTCACTATAAAGAATCATTACCTTTAGTATTGTGTCCATAAGGAGCTTTACAATGTTTCTTGTATACTGAAAAGTTAGAAGTTTATTCAGACACTCGTAAGAAATCGTAAATGGTTTCTTCATACTGATATGACGATGAAATACGAGGGGTGATCTTAAGGTCATGAAAATCGGATATTTGTAGTGCACGTGAAATATAAAATTGTTTTTTCTTCCTACATATACCAACTTCAGCTTAAAAAAAACGGGCTTCGAATTGTCCGAACACCCCCAATATTCGTCAGACCTGGCTCCCAGTGACTTTTACCTCTCTTCACGGCTCAACTAACAACTTAGAGACAAAAAATTAACGACTATATCGAGGCGATGCCTGCTGTAGAAGCGTTTTTGGATACTCAGAAAAAATTTTTTTAGGGTGTTATGAGTTCAGAAAAAAGATGGACTCAACGTATTGATTTGCTAGAAGACTATGCAGATAAACATTGAATTATCATTACTTTTCGATCAGCCCTTGTATACAGGGTGACTGGTGAATTACTATCAATATTTAAGGAGAATACTCGGTACATGATTCTCATTCGAATTATGTAAAAAAAATAGGTACTTAATTATTGACCAAATTTCCGTATAAATAAATAAAGTGTGGACACGTTCCAAGTGTTCCAAGTTTGGATGCGTGCGGCTGCGTGCTGATACAACACCACGCCGCCGCACGCGTATGTGTGTGTGTGTGTATACCTAATCTGTAGGGTGTTCACACGATGCGTAATTAATTACATAACTTTTAGTTAACTTTACTTAGAAGTTTATTAATATTTATGTTATATTAATTTTTATTTTGTCATATATGATCGTCAAATTACCAGTCACCCTGTATAATGATTATTCCACCAATTCGAGTCCGGGACCCAATGTTTGATTAAGTTATCAGATTAGACTTGATATTACGAAGGTCGTAGGATCAAGTCTATGACTTTTACATTCTACATTTTCTACATATTCTATTGCTTATAGTGTTAATTAATATTGAAGTTAATATGCCTTCGATTAATAGGTTCAGGTGCAGTTTCATTGGCCCATCTCGATGGTTCTGGTACAGAGGAAGTAGCGGCGGCGATGGTCGCTAAAGCACAGCAGCTAGCTGCAGGTTACCCTGAGGGTAGGCTCGAATTACAGATGGTAGGAGGATTCACTGATCCTCACAGATATTCTGACGAGCTCTTCGCTAATATCATGTGTAAGTATGAAATTTACGATCAGATAATAATAATTATTCCTTTATTCCTCAGTATAATTTACATTTATCTTCTATTCATAATTTTTAAATGATGCCTGTCATTTAATTCTTCAGTACTTTAGTGTCCGTACTTAAACATTCACAATTTTCGTCTTTTCATTCACAATTCTATCCTCATGATGGTATGATAATGATGAAATCAAATCTGGAAAGTATATAAAATATACGCACAATTGCCATGTATGCAATTTTCAATTGTTTAAATAATATATAATCAGAATACATTTGTACATCCATATCAAAGATTCGTTTCCATTTCTCAAGCCAGACATATCAAGAGATACGAAGGTCGCCTATTTGTCAGGGTGCCAAATGTTGAAATTTTATGAAGAACACGTGGGCGGATATTCGTTGTACATAATGTTTTGTGCTTTTGTGGTTTAACGACGTGTAAACTCTTTAAACGTTGTTTATAACCCATTATTTTATTATAACTCAAGACCATCATTTGTTCGAGATAAAATTTATTCAATTTTTCATTGTTCTGTAACTAAATTAATGACAATAATATTGACATTAAGATTATAATCTTACTTCTGATAGAGTAATTAATTTTTGGTTTTGTGTTATGGATAAAGACCTAAGTGTCGAACAACTTATAAGAACCCCAATTTTTCTGATATTATCTTTGAATATAAAATATTTTTAAAGTCGTTGTTGATCTGGTTAAGATACACAAAAATTAATCATTTAATAAAAATTATCTACTATCATTCTAATGACGCCTAAACTTTGAGCTACCTTCCAACGTATGCTAACCTATGCTAAGAAAGTTAATTGGACGATTGTTTTTAGAATGTGATTAAGAAACTTCTATAAATCTTATACAACTAAATTAAATCTCCTGAAATGTATATCTACAAGTTTCCTTATTCTTCTAACATTCAACCAGTTCTTAGACAAAATACAATATATTAGATCGTCAGTCTAACCAATAGCATTTTAAACACACAACAAATAGCTACCTTTTAGAATCATTGTCATAGTCCAAAGAAAAACTACTAAAGATCTATGTGAAACAAAATATTTATATAAAAAATTAAAGTTATTACCCAAATTTACATAATTATCTCAAATGTTCCAGTGTCATTCCACCGTCTGTCAGAAGAGATAGACTTGACGCTAGCGTGTTGTTGCGAATTAAATACAGCGTTGGGTGGTTCACCTTCACCACTAGTGACGGGTGTAGGAGTTGATATAAGGGCTGGGGATATGTTCCCCGCGACTTTCCCCGATAAAGGACCGGAACTGCCATTAAGAAGCGCCAGAACCATCACTGGTGGACCAAACGCTGCTCAGGTCAGAAATATTACCATTACTACGTTTAATTTTGGTTCTTTCTTCCCAAACTGCTTCCCAAAAAACAAATCATAGAAATACATAGAGAAAAATGTGTTTTGGTTTTAATACTATCATGTGTAACATAACTTCCTAAACTTTTAATATTATAGCAGAAATCAAATAACCTTTCATTTTATGGAACCACATATCAAAAACAAATACACTGTTGTTACGGCAACTAATGCCAAATAAATTTTTAATTCTTAGCATCTACGGAACAGATTTTTGGAATCCCTTATCTGATATTAAATTTAAAATCTCGTTTTCCAGGTGTTTGATATATATGACAACGGAGTCGGTATGTTGCGCATCGGTCCTTTCAACTACGAGCCGCTGCGTAGTGTCGAGTTGTGGCTGGGTCAATCCGATGACTTCATACTACAGCATCTCAGTACAACGCCGGCCGTTGAGGCGCCGCACTTCGTACATAATGTGAGATATTATTAAACATATATGGGGCCATACATAAAGTACGTCAAATATTAATGGAGGGCGGGTATCACCCAAGTATGACATATTGTGGCATGGGGGGTTAACTAAAACACTTAAACGCAAGTTTTGAATATTTAATAAAAATTAAAATAGCTGTTTTTTCTCTATTATTTTTAAAGACAGACATAAATTTAAATTTACTAGGACGGGGGAAATTCAAAGTCCTAAAATTCATGTGAAGTTATTTATGGACGGCCCCTAATCATTGTAACAGCAGAACAAACAAACTTCCGGTGTTCGAAGTTTCGTTGTACTATCAGAATTGTAGTATTTTTTGTATTATATTACCCTAAAAATATATAAATAGATGTTGGAATGTTTTTCTTTGAGGCAAAAAGGATTGAGTAAATTTTGATAAAACTTTTCAATAATAATATACCTTAGATAATAACATATGAGCACTAATTTATTCCTTCAATCAATAAACTTACCGCGTGGTCAAGAAATAATATTTGTAATTTATATAACGTCACATAATTACTATAGATTTTACTACTTTCGAGTAATATATTCATAATCTCTGAACAAAATAAATTAGACTTGGACACACTATACTATACTTGCTAATATTAACTTCTTATTCATATAATAAAGGACTGTTTGTTTTTCAGATTCGTGTAACTCTAAAGTTCATCCAACAACATCCGTTCCCCGCTGTCACAGTGTTCCCTGACAACAGACCTCACTACTACCGTCGAGATGAACAGACGGGATGCTGGGTACCAGTCAGGTTCTAAACACATACAAACATATATATATGAATTGATTGATATCATTAATATGGAAACGAAATATATTGTGACTAAGATTTGAATATGCTGGTCAGAGTATTCAGTTGATTTGTTTTTTTTTTTGTTTTAAGTTTTCTATAGAATATATATATTTGTTTATGGATGATACACAAACATGTTCTATTTTGTTTTTTTTTTTTTTGTTTAATGCAGTCTAAAATATTGAAGTACAGATATGTATAATAATACATTCCATTGTTATTTTTTATAAACTATATTAATACAAAAATAATAAATGTTGTAATTTTTTTGTGATGAAAATACTAAAAGTTGGAATACATCGGTTAATTTAACTGATTTTAGAATTGTATGTAAATATGGCTTAGTTATTTGAATGTTATTAAGTTTATTGTATTGTATATTTTGACAGGATCTTTTTAAATTTTTTATGTTTTAATATTTTCCATACTATTTCCAGATGAATGTAGTACTAATAGAAATGATTAAAATCTTGACTTGAAAGTGAAACAATATTTTTACCCAGTTAATTGTTAGGTTATTATAAATGGAAACACAAAAAAGGCGCTGTAAATATTATAGTAAGCAAGTTATTAGTTAAAAGCGTTATTAGTTATTGTTTTGTGAAATGATGATTATATTGAAAGTTCAATAGTTGGTTTGTTGTTTTATTTAAATCGATTAACCAGTTAAACTAAAAAATAAGACGAAATAATTATCAATTTTTTTATTGTGCGTGGTGTCCCTCAATGCGGAAGAAGTGAAATGTTGGAAGTGACTGTTGGAATGAAAACAGGAAGATGTAGAAATTTCTTTTTTTCAGTGTATCTAAGATGAACTTTGTTAACTTTATCAATATTCCTTACAAGTTACAATTGAGTGCCGTCATGAGTTTGAGCGCCACGCGTTACCTTTCGCTCTCTCTATTCTTATCCCCCCCCCCACCCCTGGCGCGTTGAATGTTTAACGCAGCCTTGTTGGAAGTTTCACTTTAATAAATACACATAAGAATCATTGCGTAAAATAAATATCACAGGAAAGCGTATTATATACTATATCTACAATGGATTTTTTTTGCGATTGCAGAAAAATCATCACTTTTATTATATGTATTTTAAAGACGCCTAAATTATAATGAAGGAAAAACAGAAAATGTTCCAACTATTTGCTGTACTCATGAGCAAGGAGGAACTGTATCGCTTCCAAGGGATGCGAGGAAAGTCTACAACGAAATGATTGACGACCATGGTGTGTCTGTTTGATCGATTATAAAAAATAGAATGCAATTACTAAAGCCTGCAATTCCTTCGTACCTTTCCCAAAGTGTTTTCTATAGAGTATTTTCAGTTTTGTGTTGACTCCTGCTTTGTTTAAATATAGAAGCTGTCTCCGCGTGAAGTATTGCATTTAAGATGTAAATAGTGTAGATTTTTCTGTTACCATATGAACTATAATGTATAAAGTTTAGACAGACGTCGTAGTGAGAGCTAACAGTAGTTTATCGCGACCGCGTTGGCTTATAACAGAAAGCTCTATTGCCAAGAGCATAGAGTTTCACAACATCAGACAGAGAAAAACCTTCCTTAACAAACATCTGAAACATTTCGGTTTAGATTTGATTTTTTAGCCTGATTACAATTAGCTATAGACCAAGAGATAATTTTAACTAGCAGTTAAAGCGCTCGTTCATCTCGACCGATCTTTAATAGAGAAGGAAGCCAGCCACCAATTTCTTAATTCGTTCGACCATTTTTGCTATCACAATAAAGGTGGCGATTGAGTGAATAATTTAGCATGCATGAAAACAGCCAGTTTAAAGGTGAGTAATAGAGTTCCGCCGTAGAATCATATAAGCAGTCTTACTGAGTCTTCCAAATAAACAAGTAAACTCTTGGCCACCGCTGTGTGATTGGTTAACACCGACATAAACTATTTTGTCCACGCATATGCCCACCAGCATTTGTAGGGTACAAATATTGGGGTCTTGAAGTTGACTGGGGGCTGAAGAAAGTTATAGCCATGAGTGTAACGTGGCCATATAAGGCAAACCTATTCTTTAGAACATAAAATCTGCGTCTCCGGCAAAAATGTGCGCCTTACTAGTCTCTGGGTGGCAAGAGATTATAGTATAGTCCTCTGCTATTGTTGAAGTGCACTGTGAGAAAAAGAAAATTCAGCATTTGTTCAAATTGACTTTTCTTCTTGAAACTTTAATTTTTGATAAAGCAAATATGATGGATGGAAGTTATACGATGCTCCATAATTATAATCCAAGAAAACAGCCGAACCTGCTCTATCAGTGTGGCTTGATTAGGAGACTGCAAGGACGCCCGAATTCCCCTAGAGATCATCATCTTGTCTTCTAATCCGATCGTCAACTAGCACGTTGGAGGCACCCTGATATTGTACACAGTTGACGGGGCAGCCTATCATGAGTGGCTAGAACATTAATTGTGTCCCTATCGATTGTTAGAGACCAATGGAACGTCCTATTTGGGATCCAACAACCTTTCAAAACCAAACACCGAACACAACGTAAATCTTTGTGTATAGTACAGGCTCAAATTTTAAGTTAACTTTAACTTTTTGGACCCAAACCTAAACAGTTTCCTCAGACAGCGTAACGGGGCAGGAGAACTCGGTGTTTTTATAGCCTACTAAATAGTTTTACAACTTATGTTCTTTTCCATTTCATACTTATTCACAAAATAACATCAAAAAAATTTTTACTTGCATGTTTCATCCTAGAGAGAATTAATCTAAATAATTTTAGGATCCTTTGAATATTTTCATTCACTTATAATTAAACAATACCTAATTATAATCTTTCTTATAATTCTGGTATTGTTTTTGTTTATCTATTTGACAAGTGACTATAAGAAATATGACATTTTATTTTTCTTTAGACGACAACTGACAGCTGATTTGTTAGTACTTAGTGTATAGTTGTCAAGTGGGAATTGGTGATAATAAACTAATTAAAAGTTTTTGTGCTTCAAAATTCTTATTCAAAGAAAAATGGAGAAGCCTACTGTTACTGAACAACCACCTCCTTACTCAGCAGCTACTATGGGAACGGGTATGTTCTATATCGAATGAATATGAATCACGGCATATTGTTTGAAGAGTCTAGATAACTTTACTATATTGCGCCATCGATAATAAACATTCTTTGTGCCGAACGTCCCGGCTATCACTCTGAAATTTATGTTACTAATAGAGGTAATAGTAAATGACTATGATGCTGCCTAACATAATTATAACTTCGCTATATTTCTTATCACTACTAAACTTGAAAAGTTATTATTCTAAAGTATAAATTAGTCATGAGAACAAATTAATATGATTACCATAAAACTTGTTCTATATGTTAAATGTTATAATTAAATTTTGTGTAAGTCCTTCAAACTGGTTTTTGAAAAACTAATAGCATACAATATTATTTACATTGAATATCCTGTTGTTGTTTATAATTTTATGCTGTGCAAGTTTTATTTTTATTTCTTACATTCATATTGTGATGAAAAGTAATGACTGGCATTTGTTATACTGTTTTTGAATAATATTAACAAATATATCTTATAAATTTATTGCCATTGAATGTTAATAACAAAATATGATGTCACTTATTATAGTTTTATTGTACACAGATAATTCAATTATTAGCTTCCATTATTGAACCTGCAAAATCAAGTCATGGTTATATGGTTGCTTGAATATAATATACAATTGGGACATGAGTTAATACAGTCTAAATAATGTTATTTTGCCTTTCTTTAAGCAAATCCAATTTGCCCAATATATGTATATACAAATATGTATATATTTACGTAACTACTCAACAATCTTTTAGCTTGTTTTATTTTTCATTTACTTATTGGCTTTAATTTTATTGACCTGTTTGTCCTTGACATCTGAATACAATCCCTGCTTAGCCTCATAACTTTAAAGTCTACTTTGGCTCAAATTACTTGTATGACCTACGCTTCACACATAATAGCTTCAGAACAACTTACTTAAGTGTAACATAATAGAGTTTATGTATTAAAAACTCTCTCAGTACAACTGATAAGAAATGCGAGTTGTTTTTATGACAATTTTTGAATTATTTTTATGACAAATAAAACATATTTATATACATATTACTATACATACTTATATTTATTGGGATTTTACTGTAATGTGTAACAGACTTAATTACTATAAATTTTACGTCTAGATTGTATTTCTATGATACAATTGCATGATAAAGTTACCTTTCTTACTTCAGGCAGTCAGGGAAACTTAGAATTGACATTTTGCAAAAATAAGGCAGAAAAATGGTTGTAATTTTATCCATGTGACTACAGATACATTATTCTATAAATAAACTCTGCTACAGATTGATAATGACAATAACTAATTAAATAAGGGAATCAAGTTTCAACAACAGAATTTGTCACATTGTTTCTGTCATTATTTATGACTGCAAGTTTGTAGTTAGATGGTTTATAGAACTTTTTCATAGTTTAAAGGTAAGTATTTGATTTTATATTTGTTTTTATTTCAGGAGCACACACTTATCCTCCGCCGCCGCCGCCGCTCCCCCAAGGGTCATTCCCTCCACCGCCTGGCTACACACCGTATGGTACAACCCCGCAAACAGCTTTTGTCCCAAACTATGGGGCTACTAATATTATTATACCACCTCCTATAATAGCTGTAGGGGCCTGCCCAGCATGTCGAGTCGGTATATTAGAAGACGATTTCACTTGTCTCGGTATATTGTGCGCCATTTTATTTTTCCCTATCGGCATTTTGTGCTGTTTGGCGATGAAGAATAGACGGTGCTCAAATTGCGGCGCTATGTTTGGATAGGACATGTCATTTTTGGCTCCATTGATTTATAAGTTGTTACCGTCCAGAATTCTGATTGGTAATTTAAGTGATAATTCTACAAAATCTCTTTGGTTTACTAATATGGAGCCTCTTTCTCTTGGACTGTGTCATGGCAGATGATATCGAATTTATACATGAGTATGATTATTAAAAATGTTAATATTTTTAGACTACAAATTAAAATAGTCTTGAAATCAAAGTTTGCTTTGATATTTAGGACAGTTCAAACAAAAATTCCTTAAAATTAGTAATGTTCATTACTCCTTTATTTTTCATATTTTTTCTTAAATGTATAGCATTCCCCTTTAGTTTTAAAAAATAATTCTATTATAATTTTCCAATTAAATTTCTTAATTAATACATAAAGTCACATTACTATTTACTCAACATATTCTTTATATTAAATAGAACATATGTTATGGTTTTTAATAATTGGAACCATTTTTTGTGATATATCCAGTTTTGTTTGCTGAATTTAATTTTTTAATAATATAAGTAAAGAGTTGTTTAAGGAGATATTAATAATATAATTATATTATGATATGTGGTCTTTCGTCTGTGATCCTTTGGATGTCATGGTGCTCTTATTGCAACTACAGTTATATATGTTACATTTTATAAGGTATAAATTTGTTATGTTATCCTTATTTTGTTAAAAAGTTTAGTAATACATTCATACATATATGAGGGAATATTAAAATTCACTTGTTATTACAAAAGGGCACCATATTCTAGGGATTTTAATTAAAGAGATAGATACATTGACAAAAATGTTGCAGTGTTGCCAATTCCAATTGAATATTAATATCTTTTTGTTTATCTACTAAAAGCTTTTCAGCTTTTACAATTGTATCTTTTATTATTGATGTTATATATAAATAAAAAACTTCTGTCATATTTTTTATTCAAAAGTAGGATAGGATAGGTTTTCAGGCATTGTAATGGAATAACTATGGAAATGTCAATAAAAATTACAATATATTATGGTCTAAGATTTTTGTAATAATGTTAATGTAATTTTTAATTGTATCAGATTATATATTGATTATAAATTTCAATAAATAGTGTTTATTATTATCAACTATTTAAGGCACACCTTAGTAATTAAAGGAAACATTTGAAATAAGGACTGAAATTACTTCATTTTGATAAAATTAAGTAAAATACTGAAAGCATTTCTGAAAAAATATTGTTTGATTGTATTGAACTATGTTCGCTCAATTTTTTGTTACATATTACTCTATTTTTATAATTCCTTGAACTTATCTCATTTTAAAAGATTTAAAGAGAAGTCTACTCATTGTCATCAAAGGAAATATACTTTCAATTGGTTAAATGTTGATGTAACTGATCATTTTAAAACACATTTACAATCAGTTATAAAATCTTACATAATGTATTTTCAGAAATATATAAAATAAAAATAATAATTGAATTCTGTAAAGAGAAAATTATCACAGATTTGATTATCAATATTAAAACATTTTCAACGTTCACCTTAATATTAATCTTATTTAAATAAATTATTACCATAAACGATAGATGTTACAAATAAAATCATTGATTTCAATATATCTGTACCAATTAATAATTGTAGTTGTATCAATTAATTAAAATAAAATAAGCAATGGAAATATTTTTATAAAAGTCACACAAAGGCTGTATTATAATGATTAATAAAATACTGTCTTAAATGTTATGTAGCTTAAGTTAGAAGCGATTTTAGTCCATTATGCCTTGAATATTCACGTTTACATTGAAAGTAAACAAATATATTAACTAATGGATAATTAGGAATTATAATGATATAAATGTTTATTGTATGAAATATTTATAGAATACTACGATTAGTATAGCGTATATACATTTGTACTGTAGGTTTTTCAAATAAAGTTAGGTTAGAAATTGTTTTGTTTCATTTATAAAGGTAATAATTTTGTCGTTGATGTAGTTGCCAGACAAAGAACTTTCACAAGAATTTATTGTAAAGGATAATGACTTGTGAATATGTATGGTATATATAATAGGACAGTTGTTTTTTTAATGAATTATGAAACAGACTGTTTTTTATTTGAAATAAAGATAAATTTACAGAAAGTTGATACTATGACTTTTTGAAAAATCTTTGAATGTAAGACTTTGCAAAATATATGAATAAAAAGGAAAATTTATATTTCACAGTAATTCTTAATACTCTGGTTTATTTATGTGTAAAAACATATCTGTTATTTTTGGTACAAAGGGGGAGTGTTAGCGGAACTAAAAAAAAGAAAATGTACAAAATATGCCTTGAATTTGTCGAAATTGTCATATAATATTGAAGTAAAAAATATATACAAGTTATATATAGTTTATACGTTTAATAAATATATTTTAAAATATGGGAAGTCTGTTTTAATCATATGGAATTTAAGTAACATATTTCGAAAGTTTCAAACTTTTATTAATCCGCATAGTTGATTTTTTAATAATAATATTGTGAATCAACTAGATAATCTTAAAAAATCTGGTCAAATACCCACTTCTGAAAATTAGACCATTAGGTAAACAAATATGTATAATATGTATGTTCTACCAAAGTGAAATAAGATTTAAATTAAAGAAAGCCACGATTTACGACGATTTGTAATCATATAGAATATTTTTTTAAATTACATACCAGTTATCGTTTTGTCATTTAGATTCTTTCTAACTATCCAGTTAATTTAATAATAGTGAAATAACAATTCTATTTCGATAACTGCAATAAAATTCCCTTTAAACATTCTCAGATATTTTGTTGAATTTGTTTTATGTCGGGAGACAATAGTTTCTTTAGTACCTATCAAGTTTTTCACAAAGATACTTACTTATTTTGTCACTACTGAGAATCATTATTATATAAGTGAGATGCAATATTTTATGGACTTTTACATACATCTATACATTTTCATGAAAAGAGATTACCTAAGACCTAACCTACTATCAACCAGAAGTTTATAGTAACGCGCTGTACGTATTACATTGATTCCATTGTCTAGATTGAGGATTTCCTTCCAGCTCAAAGATGTTATGAAACGCTCTGGATATTTGTACAGCCTCAATATTGAAGTATTTGAGAAGCTTTACTTGATCTTGACGAAACTGATGATGGCTTTTATTATAACTGGGGTGAGGGGGGCATGACGGGGACGCGAGGCAGGACGGGGCCACAAACACAGAAAACTATACGCTCTAGATAGATGTATCTTGTATCTCTGTTTAGTCTGACAGTGACCGTTGACTAGACTGCGCGCGTTTGTTTTTAAAAACAAAAAACAATTCTCAACGTAATTCCGTGTAATTTTGAATGACTGCGAATACGCATATAAAAAGGTACGCATATAAAGTGTTTATGTCGCAACTATCATGTATTTATTTTGTTTTTGCTGATATATCATTTATTGAAATGTTTGTAACAAAAATACTGCCACAGTCAATCATTACATTTGGTTTTTATTTTAAATAATGTGGGAATTTCGGTATGAAGGGAACATGGCTGCGGGGTACGATGGGGTGCCCTGGTATGCCCCACAACCTTTGTCCCCATTATGCCCGGTTTTGTAAATTAACTCAAGGATCGTTCTTGTTTGTTTGATAACAGAAAATATTTTGTTTTAGGTATAATAATGGTAGGGAAGTGTAAGAAGAGAAGGTTGACACTTAGTTGGTCCGTGGAAGACATGAAACAGGCAATTGATGCAGTCTTAAGCAAAACTGTTGGATGTAGTAAATCAGCTCGGTTGTATAATATACCACAAACCACATTAGAGCGTTACGTTGCTAAAATAAGGAAAGGCGAGGTGCGTCTTGACTCTACTCCAGGTAACTTCAAGCCTCTCTCTAATAATTAAATTGTTATTTTTACTTATTTACATATATAACATTACACTAATATTCTTCTGAAAATGTAATATTTTAACGTTTTACCGTAAATATTTACTCCATTCGATGTTAAAACCACGACATTGAAAATCCAATCGAAAACACGATTCGTTTGTGACGAATTCGAGACGAACGTACACGAGGGGTATGCGGGTAGAGGGGAATGGGACGCTAACAGCGTGGAGACAGCGCGGGGTCGGCGAGTCATCGGTGCGGGGAGAATGCGGCGTCACCTACAGTATGAGCGCCCGTTGCATGCAGTTAGTGTCTACTAATTTTATTGTTTTATAGTCGATAGGTCATCCGAAATACGTCTGGTGCAGGAGATAGAGAAGTTTGAGTATTTGTATAATAACTTTCTGCCGGAATACAATCGTAAGGATTTAACTGATGAGGCCTGGGCACAAATTTCCAGCAGCGTGAAGTTGGCAGGTAAATATTCTTTATTAAAATAATGTTTTTTTTTTTCGGTAAAGACAAATCGAAAAATAGTCTGACAGTTAAAGACAGTATTTTCAACGTACTAAAGCATTACTTGGTGACCTTGCTAATATTTTTTAGTAGGAGGTATTTAGCGAAAACAGAATATTATAAAATATACCTTAATATTGATTGTGTTAACAAATGGATTATTACATATATTTTGTTATTATTTGGAAAATTCTTAAAATGTTATTAATCGTTATAAAAATATTAAGTCGCTGAATAAATTCTTTTTAAAATCCCAACTTATTAACACATTTTTGTTATTTACAGTATCAGAATGTAAAGAAAAATGGAGGAACATTAGAAGTTCGGTCCACAGAAATCTCAAACCAAGTGAAAAACCAAAAAGACCGTATTATCTAATGCCATATCTACAATTCCTACTGCCATTTCTGAGACCCAATAATAATCACGAACAAAAGGACGAACCAAACACTAGCAAAGAGACAGATATATTTATTTGCTCTGTAAAATCTGAAAAAGAGGGTCAGTTAATATGTGATACTATTAAATCAGAAATAATATCTGATGAGGATTCAGAGCAGTCTTTGCCAAATAAAAGAAAGAGGAAAGAGGATTATAATGATATAAAACGTCAAGAGATAGAGATCACTTATGACAATGGTTCAATACCAACGAACGACGCACCAAGAACAGTTTGTGAGACTATGAGGTACTTCCTCCTAAGCCTTTTACCAGAATTCGAAACAATGTCGGAAGACCAAATAAGACAGTTTAAAATAAAAGTAATGATGCATATAGACGATATCAAATCAAATGGGACTAAAGTGATCTCTTTGTCGGATCCTTCGTCGAATTGGCTACAGAAAAGACTTATTAATTTGCTCTTAAAAAATCTTGAAAAGAGTTGACCTTGAATAAATACATTTAATAGTTAAGGATTAAGTTTATTTTTTTTGAAACAATATTTTTTGTCTTTGGCAATTTTTATGAATTTAGCATAATAATTTACCACAGCTAGTTTTAATTCAGCTTTAAAACCTTAAAACATAATAATTTTACTATGAAAAGTATTTATTACTAGTATTTGTTTCCCATAGATTTTTAGTGATTTAAATTGATATGTTTTAAATAGATTTATTTCTTTGAAGTTAATAACTTTGGAGAATAGAAAAAATCTAAGTTAATTTTTTCTTATTTTATATAGTTTATTTAATCAGGAGAGAAAAATATACATAATTTTATTTAATAAATTTTGCATATTCATCAAAGACTTCCAGTAAAATATTTAAATGGAACATCTTGTTTTAATAAGACACATACACTGTGATAAAATAAGTTTTGGTACTAATTTACATAAGGTATCAGATTAAAGGAGAATATCTCAAAGTGTTTGTTATACTACTAAATATTTTGGAATATGAATTGCTTTATTTTCTATGAAAATCGCAGTGAAAGTTTATTACTAAACAAAACCACCAAAACGCAAATGCGTGTTTATTTAAGTGATCTTATTAAATGTTGTGTAAGCATGTTCCTTATTCTTCGGATTGGACTATGATGACAGATAGGTATGAGAAACAATACAATAACAATCCCAGATATATTTATGTATTCGTGAATTTAAAAGTGCGTTTAAAAAAAGTGGGAGCAGGTATAATAGGTATATATTTCTACTGAACCTGTCGAGAACTAACAGTAATTCATTCTTGGAATGTAATTCAAAGTCAGTCCTTGTAGGTTCTTTTCAAATGCGGTTAGGTAGAGAGAGGAGCTTGGACGGTGGAGGAGAACGTTTAACGCGCGTTACATAGGGGCCCCTTAAACCTACATGTGGATCCCAAGTCCCAGACACTGTTGAAGCTCTTCTCCCTACAACGCGATGGACCCGGCACCCGTACAGTGAATCCAGTGAATGCTAAAAGTTTAGTCTCAAATGTTATTATTTGTCTATTTTTTAAACTAAAGATTGATCGACTACACAGTTACAAAGTGACAATTACGAAATGTAGGTTTATAAGCACTCATTAATGACATAGTTAAAAAACTTAAAGAAACTAACGATGCTGTGATTTATGTTAACAGGTGATAATTTTTGTACAAATTAACGTTTCCTTTATAAGTTTTTGCCACAAATACACATTATAAAAAATAATTATTACGTACATAAACATATTATGATTTGCTTTCGTTAAATATTAATCCGTTGACAAAAAGAGAACGCTTCAAAAATGCATTAGATTAAGTAATTAAGATGGACGGTTTTAAGTACAAAGCTAAAGAAATGTGGTTTTAGTAGAACTGAGAGAAAGACCTTTACAAATCCTGCGTTTCTTTTAATTACGTTTAATTTTGTTTTGAGGTCAAATACAGAGTATAATTAAAGTTTGCGGAGTGTTCTGTAGAGTAAAAAGGAGTAATTATTTTGTATGAAATTCACTATGGTATTCATTTAATTAATGTATGATTTTAGGAAGAAAAATGTTTACTATTTGATGTGATGTGATAGTCAGTGGTGGCCTATAGTCAGTGGTGGCCTAGGGGCCCGCCTCTCGTTGCCGAGGGCGCGGGTTCAAACCTGGCAAGTAAAAATGTGGTTTTTCGTAGTCAAATGTACTTTCTGAGAGTATTTAGACACAATTGACATACGGTGAAGGGAAACGACTTATAATTTCACAATTATAAGTTTGAAATCACCAATCCGTCTTGAGCAAGCCTGGTGATTAATGCTCAAACCTTCTCCATGTGAGAAAGAGGCCTTTGCTCAGCAGTGGGCTCCGATAGGCTGATGACAATGAGATAGAAAACTCAACACGCATGTTCTTCCTTGATGCATGGTTCGTTTATCTGTCAATGAAGTGCCTCGACAGGACGTCTGGGTGGGCGTAAGTGCTGACGGGTCACGGTGGATTCGTTACTTATTGTGTACAAATTCAAATTAAAAGACAGCCCGTCGTGTAAGTGCTATTCTGAGGCTCAGGACTCGGTGCAACATCTCCTTATCGAGTGTCCGAGGCACAACCGCTACAGGTACGACCTGGAAATAAGCACGGGAATAAAATTAACAGAAATAACAATCACAAAAGTGATAGCTGACAAAGAGCAGTTCTGTCTTAAGATAGTTGAAATAGCTAATGAAAGATATAAAACGAGATGATGCTGTACGACCTATTTAATAAAATAACACTATAATAAATTTCAACAATTCTTATTTATGCAATAAGAATTGTTGAAATTTATTATAGTGTTATTGTTGAAATTCTATTTTAATATTTACTGTATGTAATTATTTAATGTAACTTATAATTTTTATTGGATTTAATTTCATTTATTTTATTTTAATTGTATTAATTTATTGGAATTTAATGTAATTGGAATGTTATTATTGATACAAAAATAATAAATAAAGATTGTGACAAACTCCCCCATGACCCAATGAAAATGGAATAATATAGAAATAAGTTAGGTACACAATGGTGAGAAAGTATGAAAGTGATGAATGAAAGAAAGAAAAAGTATGGAGAATGGAAGGCCCTAATGAGTGATAGAACTGGAATGAAAGAGTAGCAATAATAGTAAACAAGGGCTCTGACCACGTCAGAGGGAGATATAAAAAAAATGTACCCCAAGGATTGAGCAAGAGTAAGGGGGCCAGTTGAGCACTAAGAATGTTTAACCAAACATGGTTTCAGTGTTCACTAGAAATAAAGTAAAATGTGTGTTTGACAATCAGCTCTTTATTTATAGTGATAGACCAACAAAACCTAAAGTTATTTACTTTCAATCATTAACCAAAACAGACTCAATAAAACATTAATGTAACTTGAAAATAATCTCAACATTATCTTCAGTTTTTCTATTTAAAATATGACTTAAATTTCTTAAAAAAATAATAAAATTTTAACAACTCAATCCTCATGTTCACTGTTGCAGTTGATACAAATAAAAGGACACTGTGTTTGATAAAATGCTGCATGAACTGATAGAATTCTTCATCTGTAGCCCATCCACTATCTGCTCCTAAACATTCAGGGGGACCACCGTTAAAAATGCGTCACAGTTGTTACTACGGTAACGTTAGTCCCTCGTTCCCCAGACCTCATTGTGCCGACGTTGCGCTTGCCTTTGGCAACTACAATTTTATTTGGTTTCAGCACTGTGAATACTTCTGTCTCATCTATCCATTATTTCTGCTACTTTCTCAAAAAAACTTTAACATTTTACAGCATTAAAATGAAATTGAACCGATTGCATTCCACAGCTATCTACTATGAAGATAGATTTGTTTGTCCGCTTTTCGTACAAATATTATTTATTACATAAAATATTTTGCATATATAAACATTAAATATGTATTAAATACAAGTACAATGCTACACAACCCACCCCTACACCGTAGTAATTAAGGGCGATAATAATTTTGAAACTACTCTCCGCCCGGATTGAGTCTTCCTAACAATGCTTTCCTTAGCAGCAGGTACCTAAGACAGAGACGAAACTTCTCAGCATTCCATGGATTCACCGTGCGGGTGCCGGGTCCATCGCGTTGCAGGGAGAGGAGCTTCAACAGTTCCTGGGACTTGATACCCAAGTATAGGTTTAAGGGGCCCCTTAACTAACGCGCGTTATACGCTCACCTCCACTGTCCAAGCTCCTCTCCCTACCTAACCAAATTTAAAAAGAACCTACTAGGGCTGCCTTCGATGTACGTTCCAAGAATGCATTAATGTGAGTTCTGGACAAGCCCAAGTCTTTTAGTAGGTTGTAGAGAGATTTCGCTGTTATACCTCTCGCTCCCACCTCTACCGCGTACAAATCTACGACGAACCTATTTCGAGTATTTTGTATTGTGGCTGTGAGTATGAGTGTACTTTTTGATACAGTTAATCAGTGGATGTGGGTTCATTTGTGGTTCATTATAAAAAATGTATAATTTCTATAGTTATAAAAACACTTTAAATGTAAGATAAACTTCTCTGTTAAACATTTTACGAAAATAGTTGTTTCACAAATCCCAGTTCTAATTTCTCGCTTACACAACACACAATAATTGTAAATGCGATCGATATGTTTAGAAATATGAAATACATTCTTAAGACGTAGTTAAAAGCCTAACCTTTATTATTGATTAATTATTTATTTAAACTTCTCCTAAGTAGGTATATATTTTTCATTATGTTTTGCGTGAAAATATTTTACTGAATTTCAAATTGAATTTCAATGGCTTTATTTAATCATGCTTTTAAATGAACAATGTTATACTGATATAATGTATAACAAGTCGCTCTATAATACTCATGGTCCTGTATGATAGTGGGTTATGTTAAAATTGACGAATTATCTTCCGTTGCCTGAAGGCTGAACATTACTGATAACACCGCTTCATCGGTTGAGTAAATTGAATGACATCGTTCAGAAATTATGTATAATAATGGATTACCAACAGACCTTACATAACATATTAAATTGGTTTTAGCGGTATTTTGACATATACCTATTACATATTTTGATATAATAAGCTTGTCATATTGCCTTCGATATTAGTTTAAGTTATATTATTCCACATACAAATGCCGTTGCTAATATTTTCCACCCATAATTCGCACAAGGCCGAGAAAAAAATATGTTTATAATTTATAAGGAATTCTATGTGATAAATTATATAACAATAGCTCGTTAGCCTTATTCCACTAATAAATGCCTAGTTTTTTAAATGCTATTAAATAACGAATATGTTCTACTTAAAATGAAAAGTGTTTTTAGTTTTTTGCACTTCAGTATAGATCTGACTCACATACGTATATTTTATACATTGCATAGAAAATTCTGTTAGGATCTAAATAGGAGTAAAATGTTTCTCAATGTTGTCAGAATTACGTACCTACTTATGAAGTGCCTAAAATCTAAAAATTCACATAATGTTTGGTTTTCGAAGACATAAAAAAAGCCCTTATGTTATTAATCGCAATTAAATTCATGATATGGCCGACGTTTATGGGGCTTTTTAATTCACAAGAATTTATTGTAAAGGATAATGACTTGTAAATATGTATGGTATGTAACAGGACGGTTGTTTTTTGAATGAATTATGAAACAGACTGCCTTAATTTGAAATAAAGAAAAGTTTACAGAAAGTTGATACTATGATTAGTATGACTTATTGAAAATCTTTGAATGTAAGACTTATTTTGTAAAAATTTATGTATAAAAAGGTTTTTTTTTTTATTTTAAAGTTATTTTTAATGCTCTCGGTTTATTTATGTGTAAAAACATATCTGTTATTTTTGGCATTAAGAAGGAGTATTAGCGGAACTAAAAAAAATAGAAAACGTACAAAATATGCCTTGAATTTGTCGAAATTGTCATATAATATTGAAGTAAAAAATATAAACAAGTTATATATAGAAAGTTATCATACTTCATTCATTAATTCTACCAACAATTTCCACCTCTCAGGAAAGGCGAGTACAAATCTCTCAGGAAAGGCGAGTACTTTAAGCTCTCGAGGGAGCTATTATTACCAGTAATAAATTATTATAATACTCCACATCTATGGTAGGTATATAATTGAAGTATGTATTTGTAAGTGTAAAGCAATACGGTAGCGTTAAGTTTATACGATTAATAAATATTCAAACCATGGGAGGTCTGTTTTAATCATATGGAATTTAAGTAACATATTTCGAAAATTTCAAACTTTTATTAATCCGCATAGTTGATTTTTTAAGTATAATGTGAATTAACTAGGTAATCTTAAAAAATCTGGTCAAATACCTACTACTGAAAATTAGACCATTACGTAAACAAATATGTATAATATGTATGTTCTACCAAAGTGAAATAAGATTTAAATAAAAGATAGCCATGACTTACGACATTTTGTAATCATCTAGAATATTTTTTCATATTACCAGTTATCGTTTTGTCATTTAGATTCTTTCTAACTATTCAGTTAATTTAATAATACTGAAATAACAATTCTACATATTTCGATAACTGCAATAAAATTCCCTTTAAACATTCTCAGATATTTTGTTGAATTTGTTTTATGTCGGGAGACAATAGTTTCTTTAGTACCTATCAAGTTTTTCACAAAGATACTTACTTATTTTGTCACTACTGAGAATCATTATTATATTAGTGAGATGCAATATTTTATGGACTTTTATACATTTTCATGAATAGAGATTACCTAAGATCTAACCTACTATCCACCAGAAGGTTATAGTACCTAACACTCTGTAGGTATTAAATTGATTTCAGCGTCTAGATTGAGGATTTCCTTCCAGCTCAAAGATAAAATGAAAAGCTCTGGATATTTGTACAGCCTCAATATTGAACTATTATATGTCTTTGAGAAGCTTAACTTGATCTTGATGAAACTGATGATGTCTTTTATTATAACTACGGGAGAGGGGGGCATGATGGGGACGCGAGGCAGGACGGGGCCACAAACACAGAAAACTATACGCTCTAGATAGATGTATCTTGTATCTCTGTTTAGTCTGACAGTGACCGTTGACTAGACTGCGCGCGTTTGTTTTTAAAAACAAAAAACAATTCTCAACGTAATTCCGTGTAATTTTGAATGACTGCGAATACGCATATAAAAAGGTACGCATATAAAGTGTTTGTCGCTACTATCATGTATTTATTTTGTTTTTGCTGATATATCATTTATTGAAATGTTTGTAACAAAAATACTGCCACAGTCAATCATTACATTTGGTTTTTTATTTTAAATAATGTGGAAATTTCGGCATGAAGGGAACATGGCTGCGGGGTACGATGGGGTGCCCTGGTATGCCCCACAACCTTTGTCCCCATTATGCCCGGTTTTGTAAAATAACTCAAGGATCGTTCTTGTTTGTTTGATAACAGAAAATATTTTGTTTTAGGTATAATAATGGTACGGAAGTGTAAGAAGAGAAGGTTGACACTTAGTTGGTCCGTGGAAGACTTGAAACAGGCAATTGATGCAGTCTTAAGCAACACTGTTGGATGTAGTAAATCAGCTCGGTTGTATAATATACATCAATACACATTACAGCGTTACGTTGCTAAAATAAGGAAAGGCGAGGTGCGTCTTCACTCTAATCCAGGTAACTTCAAGCCTCTCTCTAATAATTAAATTGTTACTTCTACTTATTTACATATACATATAACATTACACTAATATTCTTCTGAAAATGTAATATTTTAACGTTTTACCGTAAATATTTACTCCATTCGATGTTAAAACCACGACATTGAATACAATCCAATCGAAAACACGATTCGTTTGTGACGAATTCGAGACGAACGTACACGAGGGGTATGCGGGTAGAGGGGAATGGGACGCTAACAGCGTGGAGACAGCGCGGGGTCGGCGAGTCATCGGTGCGGGGAGAGCGCGGGGAGAATGCGGCGTCACCTACAGTATGAGCGCCCGTTGCATGCAGTTAGGCCTCGGCCTCGAATTTTGCGGGCAGCGGAGCGGCGGCGGCGCCGGCACGGAAACGCATACATTTCTCCAAAATAGCGGGCACCACTGTATTCGAGGGTCGGTCCATTTGATTATACGCGTAAGGCCTCGGCCTCGAATTTTGCGGGCAGCGGAGCGGCAGCGGCGGCGGCACGAAAACGCATACATTTCTCCAAAATAGCGGGCAGCGGGCACCGCTGTATTCGAGGGTCGGTCCATTTGATTATACGCGTAAGATCCTGCCGCTCCCGCTCCCACTCCGCTGCCCGCAAAATTCGAGGCCGAGGCCTTAGTGTCTACTAATTTTATTGTTTTATAGTCGATAGGTCATCCGAAATACGTCTGGTGCAGGAAATAGAGAAGTTTGAGTATTTGTATAATAACTTTCTGCCGGAATACAAGCATAAGGATTTAGCTAATGAGGCCTGGGCACAAATTTCTAGCAGCACGAAGTTGTCAGGTAAATATTTTTTGTTAAAATAATGTTTTTTCGGTAAAAAAAAATTCAATGTATTTAAAAAAAATAAAAACACGTTTAAATCGTAAAATAGTCTGACAGTTAAAGACATTATTTTTAACGTACTAAAGCATTACTTGGTGACATTGCTAATATTTTTTAGTAGGAGGTATTTAACGAAAACAGAAGATTATAAAATATAAGGTAATATTGATTGTGTTAACAAGTGGATTATTACATATATTTTTTTATTATTTGGAAAATTCTTACAATTTTATTAATCGTAATGAAAATATTAAGTCGCTGAATAAATTAATTTTAAAATTCCAACTTATTAACTTATTTTTGTTATTTACAGTAGCAGAATGTAAAGAAAAATGGACGAACATTAGAAGGTCGCTCGTGAAAAATCTCAAACCAAGTGAAAAACCAAAAAAACAATATTATCTAATGCCATATCTACAATTCCTAATGCCATTTCTGAAGCCATTTAATAATTACGAACAAAAAGACGAACCAAACACTAGCAAAGAGACAGATATATTTATTAGCTCTGTAAAATCTGAAGATGAGTGTCAGTTAATATGTGATACTATTAAATCAGAAATAATATCTGATGAGGATTCAAAGCAGTCTTTGCCAAATAAAAGAAAGAGGAAAGAGGGGTATAATGACATAGAAAGAAAACGTCAAGAGATAGAGATCACTTATGACAATAGTTCAATACCAACCAGCGACTCACCAAGAACAGTTTGTGAGGCTATGAGGTACTTCCTCCTAAGCCTTTTACCAGAATTCGAAACAATGTCGGAAGACCAAATAAGACAGTTTAAATTAAAAGTAATGATGGATATAGACGATATCAAATCAAATGGGACTAAAGCGAAATCTTTATCGTATCCTTCGTCGAATCGGCTACAGAAAGGTATTATTAATTTGCTCTTAAAAAATCTTGAAAAGAGTGGACCTTGAATAAATAGATTGAATAGTTAAGGATTAAGTTTCTTTTTTTTTTAAACAATTTTTATTAATTTAGCATAATAATTTACCACAGTTAGTGTTAATTCAGCTTTAAAACATGATAATATTAGTATGAAAAGTATTTATTATTGGTATTTGTTTCCCATAGATTTTTAGTGATTTAAATTGATATGTTTTAAATAGATTTATTTGTTAGAAGTTAATAACTTTGGAGAAAGGAAAAAATCTAAGTTTATTTTTTCCTTTTTTTATGGGTTGTTTAATCAGGAGAAATATAAACATAATTTTATTTAATAAATTTTGCATATTCATCAAAGACTTGTAGTGAAATATTTAAATGAAATATCTTGTTTTAATAAGACACATACACTGTGGTAAAATAAGATTTTGGATTAATTTACATATTGTATCAAATTGAAGGAGAATATCTCAAACTGTTTGTTAAACTACTAAATATTTTGGAATTTGAATTGCTTTATTTTCTATGAAAATCGCAGTTAAGGTTTATTACTTAATAAAACCGTCAAAACGCTTAACACGCATGTCACAATTTCACTTGCTTCCCAAAACTTCACGTACGTGATTAATAAAGTGGCCTTATTAAATGTTGTGTAAGCATATTCCTTATTCTTCGGATTGGACTATGATGACAGAAACAATACAATAACAATCCCAGAGGATTATTGAGCGTCGGCCTCCAGACCAGACACATTTATGTATTCGTGAATTTAAAGTGTATTTAAAACAGTGGGAGCAGGTAGGTATAACAAGTATATCTTTCTATAGCCTACTGAACCTGTCGAGAACTAACAGTAATTCATTCTTGGAATGTAATTAAATTTCAGCCCTAGTAGGTTCTTTTCAAATACGGTTAGGTAGAGAGAAGACCTTGGACGGTGGAGGAGAACGTTTAACGCGCGTTAGTTAAGGAGCCCCTTAAAGCTACGTGTGGGTCGCAAGTCCCAGACACTGTTGAAGCTCTTCTCCCTACAACGCGATGGATCCGGCACCCGTACAGTGAATCCAGTGAATGCTAAAACTGTAGTCTCAAATATTACTATTAATTGTATATTTTTTGACCTAAAGAGTGATCGACTACACATACACAAGTGAAATTCGTGAAATGTAAGTTTATAAGCACTCATTAATGACATAGTTAAAAACAACTAAAAAACTAAGGTTACTGTGATTTCTGTTAACAGATATCAGGATTTGTAGTACAAAATATTAAATAAACGTTTCATTAATAACTTTTTGCTTTAATTACTAATCATAAGAAATAATGATTATGTACATAATCATATTATGATTTGCTTGCGTTAAATATTAATCTGTTAACAAATAGAGAACGCTTCAAAAATACCGTAGCTTAAACTTGTAATTAAGGTGGCCGGTTTTAAGTACAAAGCTAAAGAAATGTGGTTTTAGTAGAACTGAGAGAAAAAGAGTTTTACAAATCCTAAGGTTCTTTTTATAACGTTTATTTTGTTTTGAGGTCAAATACAGAGTATAATAAAAGTTTGCGAAGTGTTCTGAAGAGTAAAAAAGGAGTAATTATTTTGTATGAAATTCACGATGTTATATATATTTAATAAATGTATGATTTAAGGAAGAAAAATGTGTAGTATTTGATGTGATGTGTAAGTAATAAAATGTATATTATCAAACCTGTTAAACTATGCATTCAACAGTCAATACACGTCCATATTGCGACATTACATTAACGACAGATTCGGGACACACTTCGTTTTTCGTCACGTCACTGTTACTAGAGGACCCTTCTCCTGTTCTGCCGGTTTTAATGTACTTTCATTAGGTATTTATTTTAGTGACATTTTAAACAAAACATGTAAACAATGGTTATTTAGCCCATTAGGTATGTTTTAATATATTTTTTAAACACGAAACTTCACTATATTTCACGGATTCATCGTTTAATTGCCGGGTCCATACCGTTGCAGGCAGAGGATTTTTAACAGTGCCAGGGACTTGCGATTCAGGTACCTATAGTTTTAAGGGGCTCTAGCGCCATTTGTGTTCTTTGTGTGTATGTTTTTTTTTTTTGTTAAATTATGTAATTCAAATTTAAAGTTGTACTCATGTTTATTTTAGATGACAATATATATTAAAGTTTGACGGAATAGATTTTTTTTACTTTGAAATATATTTATTTAATTTGATGAAATATTACTACAGTTCTCGTTCTCGTATTGATACGAATAATCCTAAAAATATATATTGGGTTTATACTTAAATAGAAAACTATTGTTTAGTCATATTTGGTTTTTTCTAACGTTTTTTGTAAAACTAACTTTATCCTTTTAGAATATTAAGTAACATAACTTTTTATTTATTTATTTATTTCGGTAATCCAACAGTGCTTATAATAATGACATGATAAAGTATAACTAAACAATATTAAGACCAATAAAGGATTACACAGTTAAAGTAAAAGTATAAACATAAACGTAACTTAAGTACAATTAATAATGGATCACTAATCTAATTAGCAAGACTGTTCGTTGTGTTTGAGCGACTGTGTAAGTGTGTGTGTGTGGGTGTGTGCGTGTCGTGTGTAGGTATGCATTTGTGTGTTTTAATAGTAAATTAAGATATCACTTGTTTTTTTAAAGCCTTTTTAAATTCTGATTTCTTCATATTGAATATGTCTAAGTCAGAAAACGAGTCGTTATAGGTAGTGGCTAAACGATTTACTAAGCAGTTGCTTCCGTATTTTGAGCTCATCGCCGGTGTGTCAAATAATTTTGTCAGACGAGTACGTCGATTTGGTACTCGGAATTGTACCAAAGATAACAATTCGTTGCAGTCTATTTCGTTTGACAGAAGTGAATAAAGCATCATCATATCATAGTGCTTGCGATGCGTCTCTAACGAATGCATGTGATAATGACGGCAAGCCCCAGTATAGCTATCAAATAACTTATGGTCTTTGTAGCTAAGAAATTTCATAAATTTTATTTGAATGCTTTCAAGCCTGTCTTTATAAATTGTGTACTGCGGTGACCAAATTGTGCATGCGTATTCTAACAACCTGCGAACATATGCAAAGTATAATATTTTAATACATTCAATACTAGAGAAAGACTGACATTCACGTTTTATATATCCCAATTGTCTATAAGATTTATCTGTTACAATTTGTATCCGCTCATTCATTGACAATTTCTAGTCTTACTGAATTCCAAGATCGCGTATAGAATTGATTTTGGGAATTTCAATATTATTAATGTTGTATGCATAATTATAATTATTTATTTTACGACAAAAGATTTTTTGCAAAAGTATCTAGGTCACAGGTATTTTGCAAAAGTATCTAGGTCACGTTGAACTAAGAGGCAATCCGAAAGAGATTTTATTATTAAAAAAATTTTGGTGTCATCTGCAAACATAAGAAATCGGGATCGCTTTATAGATGTATAAATATCATAAACATATACATTGGATATCAGTGGACCCAGTATAAAATGGTTTCAAACAATTTTGAGACAATTTAGCTGTGTGTCAACGAGATATTATGTATAAGACTCAACGCGCATGTTCTTCCCTGATGCATGGTGCGCTTATCGGACAATGAAGTGCCTCGACAGGACGTCTGTGTGGGCGTAAGTGCTGACGGGTCACGGTGGATTCGTTACTTATTTGTACAAATTCAAATTGAAAGACAGTCCGTCGTGTGTGTGCGATCCTGAGGCTCAGGATATGGTGCAGCATCTCCTATCGAGTGTCCGAGGCACGACCCCGACATGTACGACCTGGAAATAAGCACGGGAATAAAATTAACTGAAACAAAAATCAGCAAAGTGATGGCTGACAAAGAGCAGTTCTGTCTTAAGATAGTTGAAATAGATAATAAAAAATATAAAACGAGATGATGCTGCACAACCTATTTATACAATAAGAATTGTTGAAATTTATTATATTTTATTGGTTGAAATTCAATTTTAAAATTTAATGTAATTATTTAAAGTAACTTTTAACTATTATTGGATTTGATTTAATTTATTTTATTTTGATTGTATTAATTTATTGGAATTTAATGTAGTTGGAATTGTAATGTTAAAATGGAATGTTATGTTACAATGGTCAGAAAGTATGAAAGTGATGAATGAAAGAAAGAAAGAGTATGGAGAATGGAAGGCCCTAATGAGTGATAGAACTGGAATGAAAGAGTAGCAATAATAGTAAACAAGGGCTCTGACCACGTCAGAGGGAGCTACATATTAAAAAAATGTACCCCAAGGGTAAGGTAAGTTGAGCAAGGGTAAGGGGGCAAGTTGAGCACAAAGAATGTCTGACCAAAATGGGTTCAGTGTTCACTAGAAATAAAGTAAAATGTGTGTTTGACAATCAGCTCTTTATTTATAGTGATAGACCAACAAAACCTAAAGTTATTTACTTTCAATCATTAACCAAAACAAGACTCAATAAAACATTAATGTAACTTGAAAATAATCTCAACATTAGCTTCAGTTTTTCTATTTAAAATATGACTTAAATTTCTTGAAAAAATAATAAAATTTTAACAACTCAATCCTCATGTTCACTGTTGCAGTTGATACAAATAAAAGGACACTGTGTTTGATAAAATGTTGCATGAACTGATAGAATTCTTCATCTGTAGCCCATCAACTATCTGCTCCTAAACATTCAGGGGGACCACCGTTAAAAATGCGTCAGAGTTGTTACTACGGTAACGTTAGTCCCTCGTTCCCCAGACCTCATTTCGCCGACGTTGCGCTTATCTTTGGCAACTACAATGTTATTTGATTTCAGCACAGTGCATACTCCTGTCTCATCTATATTCCTAATATCTGCCGCAGTAAATCCATGTCTTTTTTTTTTTTTTTTTTTTTTTTTTTATGTGAAAGGTGGCAAACGAGCAGACGGCCCACTTGATGGAAGGTGGTTACCGTCGCTCATGGACATCCGCAACATAGGTGTTACGGATGCGTTGCCAACCTTGTTTTTTGGGGATAGGGAGGGGTGGGAATAAGGAAATGAAAGGAAAGGGTGGGAATAGGGAAAGGGCAACCGGCTCTCTCACTCATCGGACGAAACGCAGCCAGTAAAGGCTACTTCACGCCGATCTTCTGTGAGAGGGTGGTACTTCCCCGGTCGAGCCAGCCCATGTTCGAGCTGTAGTAACTCACCACAGCTAGGCTCTACCACCTTTTACCTTCTTTCCATTACTTCTGCTAATTTCTCAAAAAAACTTTAACATTTTACAGCATTAATATGAAATTGAACCGATTGCATTCCACAGCTATCTACTATGAAGATAGATTTGTTTGTCCGCTTTTCGTATAAATATTATTTATGACATAAAATATTTTGCAATATATGTATATAAAAACAATAAACATGTATTAAATACAAGTACAATGCTACACCACCCACCCCCAGACCGTAGTAATTATGGGCGATAATAATTTGGAAACTGTACTCGCCGCCAAGATTGAGTCTTCCTAACAATGCTTTCCTTAGCATCAGGTAAGTCAGAGACAGAGACGACACTTCTCAGCATTCCATGGGTTCACCGTGCGGGTGCCGTGTCCATCGCGTTGTAGGGAGAAGAACTTCAACAGTGCCTGGGACTTGCGACCGAAGTGTAGGTCTAAGGGGCTCCTTAACTAACGCGCGTTATACGCTTACCTCCACTGTCCAAGCTCCTCTCCCTACCTTACCAAATTTGAAAAGAACCTACTAGGGCTGCCTTCGATGTACATTCCAAGAATGCATTAATGTAAGTTCTGGACAAGCCCAAGTCTTTAAGTAGGTTGTAGAGAGATTTCGCTGTTATACCTCTCGCTCCCACCTCTACCGCGTACAAATCTACGACGAACCTATTTCGAGTATTTTGTATTGTGGCTGTGAGTATGAGTGTACTTTTTGATACAGTTAATCAGTGGATGTGGGTTCATTTGTGGTTCATTATAAAAAATGTATAATTTCTATAGTTATAAAAACACTTTAAATGAAAGTTATATTTTTGTTACTGTCAACAGACTATAAACTTCTCTGTTAAACATTTTACGAAAATAGTTGTTTCACAAATCCCAGTTCTAATTTCTCGCTTACACAACACACAATAATTGTAAATGCGATCAATATGATTAGAAATATGAAATACATTCTTAAGACGTAGTTAAAAGCCTAACCTTTATTATTGATTAATTATTTAAACTTCTCCTATATGACCCACAACCCTTGTCCCCATTATGCCATGTTTTGTAAATTAACTCAAGGATCGTCCTTGTTTATTTGATAAAAGAAAATAATTACTTTAGGTATAATAATAGTACGGACGTGTAAGAAGAGAAGGTTGAGACTTAGTTGGTCCATGGAAGACATAAAACAGGCAATTGATGCAGTCTTAAGCAAAACTGTTGGATATAGAAAGTCAGCTCAGTTGTATAATATACCACAAACCACATTAGAGCGTTACATTGCTAAAATAAGGAAAGGCGAGGTGCGTCTTTACTCTACTCCAGGTAACTTCAAGCCTCTCTCTAATAATTAAATTGCTACTAAATATTATTTATATACATAACATAGGTTTAGGTTTAGAGATGATTTATTTCCCATTAAGAACGAAGTTCACTGACATAGGAAACTTAAACTAATAACATAAAAATAAACATTTATAAAGTTAATGGTGACCTTATTTATACAAACATTCAAATATTATAAAGTTTGACAGTATGTTTTTAATTTAGCCTTAAATTTCAAAAAAGATTTTTCGTTTAATATTTCTTTCGGTAGATTATTGTACATTAGCGCTCCCTCAAATTGTATAGTTTTGTTACCATAATGTTTAGTTCTAGACTTAGATATTTGTAATTTATGTATATTTCGTGTATAGTATTTATGTGATTTAGTCTTAAAAGTAATTTGTGTGTGTATAGATCCTGAGAGAATTTTTCTTATACATAAGTATGCATGTTTTGTATTTGTATAATTGTGCTATAGATAGTGTATCAGTTTTCTTGTAAAGTTCTTTGGTTGGAAAGCGGTAGTCCAGTTGGTGTAGTGTTTTTAATAGTTTGTTTTGTGATATTTGTAAATCTTTTAAATTAGTTTTGTGTGCTGATCCCCATACTTCTATTAAATATTCAAGTAAGGGTTTAGCTAATGAGTTATAAATAATAGTTCGAACTTTATATGGAATACATCGGACACACCTGCGTAAAGCTCCAGTCAGTGATGTTATTTTAGTCTGCAAATAATCTAAATGTGGTTGCCATGATAATTTGGAATCTAATAGTAACACTAATATTATTTAACATAACATTAATAATTAATATTCTTCTGAAAATGTAATATTTTAACGTATTACCACAAATATTTACTCCATTCGAAGTTAAACCCACGACATTTAATACAATCGAATCGAAAACACGATTCGTTTGTGACGAATTCGAGACGAACGTACACGAGGGGTATGCGGGTAGAGGGGAATGGGACGCTAACAGCGTGGAGACAGCGCGGGGTCGGCGAGTCATCGGTGCGGGGAGAGCGCGGGGAGACTGCGGCATCACCTACAGTATGAGCGCCCGTTGCATGCAGTTAGTGTCTGTTAATTTTATTGTTTTATAGTCAATATGTCATCCGAAATACGTCTGGTGCAGGAGATAGAGAAGTTTGAGTGTTTGTATAATCACTTTCTGCCGGAATACACTCGTAAGGATTTAGCTGATGAGGCCTGGGCACAAGTTTCTAGCAGCACGAAGTTGTCAGGTAAATATTCTTTATTAAAATAATGTTTTTTTTTCGGTAAAGACAAATTCAATGTATTTAAATAAAATAAAAACACGTTTAAATCGTAAAATAGTCTGACAGTTAAAGACATTATTTTTAACGTACTAAAGCATTACTTGGTGACATTGCTAATATCTTTTAGTAGGAGGTATTTAACGAAAGCAGAATATTATAAAATGTAACTTAAAATTGATTGTGTTAACAAATGGATCTTAAAATTTTATTAATCGTAATGAAATATTAAGTCGCTGAATAAATTATTTTTAAAATCTCAACTTATTAACACATTTTTGTTATTTACAGTATCAGAATGTAAAGAAAAATGGAGGAACATTAGAAGTTCGCTCCTCAGAAATCTCAAACCAAGTGAAAAACCAAAAAAACAATATTATCTAATGCCATATCTACATTACCTAATACCATTTCTGAGACCCAATAATAATCACGAACAAAAAGACGAACCAAACACTAGCAAAGAGACAGATATATTTATTTGCTCTGTAAAATCTGAAGATGAGTGTCAGTTAATATGTGATACTATTAAATCAGAAATAATATCTGATGAGGATTCAGAGCAGTCTTTGCCAAATAAAAGAAAGAGGAAAGAGGGGTATAATGACATAGAAAGAAAACGTCAAGAGATAGAGATCACTTATGACAATAGTTCAATACCAACGAACGACGCACCAAGAACAGTTTGTGAGACTATGAGGTACTTCCTCCTAAGCCTTTTACCAGAATTCGAAACAATGTCGGAAGACCAAATAAGACAGTTTAAATTAAAAGTAATGATGGATATAAACGATATCAAATCAAATGGGGTTAAAGTGAAATCTTTATCGGATCCTTCGTCGAATCATCTGGAGAAAAGACTTATTAATTTGCTCTTAAAAAATCTTGAAAAGAGGTGACCTTGAATAAATACATTTAATAATAATTAAGGATTAAATTAATTATTTTTTTAAACAACATTTTTCTTTTGTTTTTGGCAATTTTATAATAATTTACCACAGCTAGTGTTAATTCAGCTTTAAAACAATAATTTAAGTATGAAAAGTATTTATTATTAGTGTTAGTGTCCCATAGATTTTTAGTGATTTAAATTTATATGTTTTAAATAAATTTATTTGTTTGAAGCCAATAACTTTGGAAAAATCTAAGTTTATTTTTTCTTATTTTATATATGTAGTTTGTTTAATCAGGAGAAAAAAATACATAATTTTATTTAATAAATTTTGCATATTCATCAAAGACTTCCAGTAAAATATTTAAATGGAACATCTTGTTTTAATAAGACACATGCACTGATAAAATAAGATTTTGGACTAATTTACATATTGCATCAGATTAAAGGAGAATATCTCAAACTGTTTATTAAACTACTAAATATTTTGGAATTTGAATTGCTTTATTTTCTATGAAAATCGCAGTGAAAGTTTATTACTAAATAAAACCACCAAAACGCTAAACACGCATGTCACAATTTCACTTGCTTCCCAAAAAATTACATGCCTGTTCAATTAAGTGGCCTTATTTAATAACAAAAATTTTACCTTACATAGTCCTAACTACTGCTTTAATTAATTTAATAAAATACATGATGCTCATGGGCCTTCACATAAGATGTCTCAAAAGTTTCATCGGAAGTCGACCAATGGTTTCTTTGTTTAATTTTATTTATAAAAAATAAAAGGAGTGTAGCGGAGCTACACAAGATTAAGATTTCAAACTGTTGTATTGTTAATTTATATTTATGTTAATGCCTCTACATATTTGTTTATTAATTGTTTAAAACTTCTTATTAAATTGTATATAGGGAGGATGCGCGCTGTGTCTATTATTCGCGTCGTCAGGGCCCGCGCACCTGTAGCTCCGCTAGCCGCCGCTAGCGGCCGCTGGCCAGCTGAGCGGTGCAGCGGGCATTGCGCCGGGCTCGTCAGTCCGCATAGTCTTTAGTTGTGAACGTTTGTCCGTCTTCGCTACGGCGACACCCGCACGCGCACCCTTGCTTTAGCTTTTGAGTAGTTTAAATTGCTAAACCTTGTTCAATTCGCTAAAGGAGACTTCTTATTTTAAAATCGCCATATATAATGTATATATTTATTTTTGGTATAGAATATGCTTCTACAAAGTTTTATAAAATGTTGTGTAATCTTATTTCGTATTCTTCGGATTGGACTATGATGACGGATATGTATGAGAAACAATACAATAACAATCCCAGAGGATTATTGAGCATTGGCCTCCAGACCAGACATATTTATGTATTCGTGAATTTAAAAGTGCGTTTAAAAAAGTGGGAGCAGGTATAACAGGTATATTTTTCTACGACCTACTGAACCTGTCGAGTGTACTGAACCTGTGAATCCATAGAATGCTTAAAAGTTTAGTTTCATTTTAGTGACATTTGTGAAATGTAATTTTATAAGCACTCATCAATGCCATAGTTAAAAAAAAAACTGAAAAACTAAGGTTACTGTGATTTCCGTTAACAGATGGCAGGATTTCTAGTACAAAATAAGTAAACGTTTCCTTAATAGCTTTTTGCTTTAATTACAAATCAGAAAAATTAATGATTATGTACATAAACATATGTATTATGATTTGCTTTCGTTAAATATTAATCCGTTAACAAATAGAGAACGCTTCAAAAATACCTAAGATTAAACTCGTACTTAAGGTGGACGGTTTTAAGTACAAAGCTAAAGAAATAAGGTTTTAGTAGAACTGAGAGAAAAAGAGTTTTACAAATCCTGAGTTTCTTTGTATAACGTTTATTTTGTTTTGAGGTCAAATACAGAGTATAATTAAAGTTTGCGGAGTGTTCTGAAGAGTAAAAAAGGAGTAATTATTTGTATGAAATTCACGATGTTACTATATTTATTTAATAAATGTATGATTTAAGGAAGAAAAATGTGTACTATTTGATGTGATGTGTAAGTAATAAAATGTATATTATCAAACCTGTTAAACTATGCATTCAACAGTCAATACACGTCCATATTGCGACATTACATTAACCACAGATTCGGGACACACTTCGTTTTTCGTCACGTCACTGTTACTAGAGGACCCTTCTCCTGCTCTGCCGGTTTTAATGTAAAGTACATTAGGTATTTATTTTAGTGACATTTTAAACAAAACATGTAAACAATGGTTATTTAGCCCATTGGGTATGTTTTAATATATTTTTTAAGCACGAAACTTCACTGTATTCCACGGATTCATCGTTTAATTGCCGGGTCCATACCGTTGCAGGCAGAGGATTTTTAACAGTGCCAGGGACTTGCGATTCTGGTAACTATAGTTTTAAGGGGCTCTAACGCCATTTGTGTTCTTTGAGTGTATGTTTTTTTTGTTAAATTATGTAATTCAAATTTAAAGTTAACGTCAACCGATTGATTCGAAAATTTGTACTTATGTTTATTTTAGATGACAATACATACTTAAGTTTGACGGAATAGATATTTTTATTTACTTTAAAATATATTTAATTTAATGAAATATTAGAGCAGTGCTTGTTCCCTTATTCATACCAAATTTCCATATAAATAAATAAAGCGTGGATACGTTCCAAGTGTGTAGGCGTGCGGCGGCGTGCTGATACAACACTACGCCGCCGCCGCGTCTGTGTGAGTGTGTGTGTATACCTAATCTGTAGGGTGTTCACACGATGCGTAATTAATTACATAACTTTTGGTTAACTTTACTTAGAAGTTTATTAATATTTATGTTATATTAATTTTTATTTTGTCATATATGATCGTCAAATATCACGTCCTCAAATATCGATAGTAATTCACCAGTCACCCTGTATATTGAGTTTATACTTAAATAGAATTTTCTTATCTAGTCATATTTTGTTTTTTCTAACGTTTGTTGTAAGACTAACTTTATCGCTTTAGAATAGGTATTAAGGAACATAACTTTTTATAAAATGGTCTTAAATAATTTTGAGTCAATTTAGCTGTATGTCAATGAAATTTAAGACTCTCGCAAGAACCTATTCATTAAAATAAATCTAATGTTTTCAGATTACCACTCGTCATTTTAATATTATTAATATTTTAAATGTTATACTCGTAAATACAATTTCAATAATTTTGTCTCGGTGATTTTTTTATTTTTAAGAATTAAGGAACATCAAATTATCATTATCGTATCGATGCATATTGTATGTATATAATAATGTATACCACGACATTGTATTGTGAAAATAGACTAGAAGCTTTACTAACTAACTACTTACTTTAAATGGAACAGTTTGCTTTGTAAAGTTGTTCAGGGAAAAGTTATGAATGATTTTACCTCGTTACCTGAATTTCCACAAACTACTCTCTTCAATTATATTTATAGAAACTTGGCTTTTATCATGATCATTTCCTTGTTCTATAATGGCGTAGGTTGACGGGCAATAGGAAAACAATTGACATTCGACGTATAGGTTACCGACGTTATAATTCAAACTATTATTTAGCACATACTACAATTAACTACACTCAATAACCATGGATCAATTACAACGTTCGTTTTCAGTATTAATCGAAATCACACGACGTTCCGCGGACAACGTGGTGTATGCCTGACACAGCGGATCAATTCGCCGATCTTAGTACCATACCTCCAGTTAGGGTTGCCAAACGTACTCTAAAATAGAGTATTGTACTCTATATCATGTAAGCGTACTCTATAATCTATAACACTAATAGAGTACGCTAAAATACTCATTTTCTACACATTTTTACTAGTCAAATAATATTATGCAAAAACCTAAATACAAAACCAAAAAGTTCGACTATTTACTGTTCATATGTTGGTAATTGGTATCCCCAAATTTCCTCCAACTACATTCAAACCACCACCACCAAGTGTTGATGAGGATTGCCCTATGATTATTCAAAATCTATTGATGTTAGATTGTAAGCATTATTTAATTGAAATTTATCTACATTTTGCCAGCCATATCATATTTCACAAAACTATTAAATCTCTTGAAGGTAACTCTGTCACACAGTTGTAAATGTTTTTGGTTTAATGGAAAGTTTAAAATCAGAATTACTGCAAAGACAAAAAGACAAGTATTTTGGCCATACAACAAAACAGAAATTAAAACTTATTAAACAATCATCACCTGATTTGTTTAATCAGATAAACACGAGTTTTTCATTGCGTATAGACAATATTTAATTTATTTACAAAAATGGTTTTATTTTAGTAGTGATAACTGGCTATATTCACTAAATACAATATCTTTAAAAACTAATGTTGAATTTAATAATTTAGAAGACAATGTAGAAGAAAACTTATTTTATAAAGACTAAAAATACACATGGACAGTTTATATTCAGAAGTTATAATTTTAAAAGAACTCCAAGCTGAATTATTAAATAACTGTTCCCGCCACTTCAGCATTTACTGGAAGAGTCTTTTCGGTCATGAATGTGAAGTGGTGAGAAGAGAGAAACAGAGCTTCATTGAAATTAATTAAAAGTGAGCTCTTGATCTATATAAATTTACAGTTAGAATGTTTGGACTCATACAATTCTTTTAAAAGCAAAGAAAAATTGTTATGTGCTGTAAAAAGTACAAAAAATACCTTTTTAAAAATATGAAATATATAATACTCTTTTTTTTTAGTCCATACTCTTTATTTTTCTCCTTTGAAATCAGATATACTCTATTTCTTCTAAAAAAAGTTGGCAACCCTACCTCCAGTTCCCCGAGTTACGTCAAGCGGACCGTCACTTCTTTTCGTTAGTGACGTTCCCTTTTACTAAATAGGTCCTATTATTATCTATCGTAAATATAATCAATTTAATTTCTAAAATCACAAATGCGCCGTCATATTATATTACGGAGTTGGAACATGGAAAACGTTAAAATTTTTCAAGATAATTTTGTTTCAAAAATT